TCGTGTCGAGAGGGTAGGATGGAGATAAGTGGGAAAATAGAAGGGGGGGGAGGGCAGGGAGGCAAGGCTGGATACGCGAGCTGGGCCGAGGTACACTGCGATATATCTATATAGAGAGCTAGAGGTGAGCTTTAAAAGTCGAACTGGCTCGTTCGCTCGGGCCCATTAATGAATGCGCATTCATAATTAAATTAGCATGGCATTATGGCCGGGGAAGTTGCTGCCTGGGTAGAGCTTCGGGCGGCCGGGACTCGGCTCGCTCGCTCGCGCTGCGGCGGTGTCTTCGCCTCCAGCGGAAGCCAAGAAACAAACGAAGCTCGTAAACGTATTGCGATTTGCACCAAGTCGCTGTGTACTTTTGCCCTTAGCTACGCGCCCGCTCGCAGTCTCGGCTCGGCTCCGACGAGCTTCCATCACGCACGCGAGGCTACTGCTGCAGTGGCAGTGTGTTTGCACACGCATACTCGCAGACTGAGAGAGAGAGAGAGAGAGAGAGACTCGGAGGATCCACACAGAAGGTACGTTGGCGGTGGCGGTGGCGGCTGCGGAAAACGAAATTCCGACTCGAGCTTCCATATAGGCGTACGCACGCAGCCACTACGGCTGAGAGAGCAGCTGTGCCCTTATACTCAAGCTTATATGTATATAGGACCTCGACTAGACGCGCAGCCAGCGGCGGAAAAGCTCGCTTTCTCTCTTCGCTGTCGGGACTATACCGCTGCTGCTGGCACTAGTCGCTTCGGTCGCTATATAGCTTCAAAACCTACACGTAAACCTCAGTCACGCGTGCAGGCCTGCTACACGAATACTTTTACTTATCTATGTAAGCGTGGGTGTGTGTGTGTGTGTGTGCGAGGGAGTGTGCGCAGCCGCCCTCTCTGCATTATCAGCGCCAGTTGCCGAAAACGAATTACGTCTCGGCGTGCCGGGATGAGGAAAGCTCCGTGTATACAGTGATCAAGTGTACGTATATACGACGAGGACGAAGAGGAAAGAGGAGGAAAGAAAGAGCGAGTGCGCCGCAAAGTCGGAGAAAGGAAAAGAGAGCCGTACTACTGCTGATGGGCAGAGAGAGAGAGAGAGAGAGACAAGGGCGGCACTGCAGCACATTGCCTAGGCAGTATTGTATAACGCCGAGGGACGGGTGAGAGGGCGCGGGTATAATCGGGCGGACGAAGCCAGCGACGAGGCGGCAGCGATTCCCAACTTTCTCCACGCATCGGAGGGAGAGCTCTTCTGGCGAAGCAAAGCGACATCTCAAAGTCATGCTGGGCTATTTCCAAGTCGATTTCTCGATTTACCTAGGTAGTTACGAGAAAACAAACGTTCCCACTGCTGCGGCCTGCTGCCAAAGAACGAGTATAGGTAAGAGAGTAAGTAGCGCTGGGGCTCTTGCCTCGGAAAATTTAAAAAGCCCAACGTCATCCGATGAATACGCCTCGTTCGACAGCTATTCGCCGTAATTCAAGGGAGCTTTAATCTGCTGCCGGCTTAAGCGGCGCTATATAGGATATCTAAAAGAATGAAAACATCTGAAAGCCTTGCGCAGTGGCGGCGAATCGTTCTCTTCTCTCTCTCGATCAAATGCTGCTTCCTGCAGGCAATCCTCGCGGCTCCCCTTTTACCTCCCCTCTGCTGCCCCGTACGGAAGGATACTTGCGGCAATGAATCGTGCCAATGGAGCTGCGGCCGCGACTGGTCATCGAATTCCAGCGCAATTAACCCCGTTCGGGATTTGTGCAGCTTTCAAGACTCTTTCCCCCTCCCTCTAAGAGAGAACCGCTTGATCGACCTAATCTCCAACAATGTCGAATTAAATATACGCTCAACTATTCCAATAACAAGCCCGAGCAACACAGTAACTCTTTTGTTTGGCAAATATTTTTCGCGAAAAACTTTGTAATTGGCGCAAAACCACCGTGAAATGAAAGTTTCATCAAACGAATAATAATGTCAAAAGCTACGCTTTATTGAGCGCGCGGCACAACGTAATTTTCGAATAATATACCGTCGAGCGTCGCGGAGAGAGTTGGCATTTCCCAGGTGTCACGTGTTTGCGAAATGCAAAAAAAGTTTCTCATTTCTATAGAAACTGTCGAAGTCAACAAAAGCCGGGCGCAGCCGTTTCCGAATTGCGACAAACTGCAGACAGGAGAGACTAGTCAAAGAGAAAGAGAGAGAGAGAAAGACGCGCGAAGCAGTGGGCGCGTATGTGCGCGCGGGCGGCGAGGAGGAAAAGAAGGTCCTTTAACAGCAGTCTGTGCTAGTGTATAGGCACCCGTATATACGTAGGGTACACACACATGTGTGTGTGCCTGTGATAGAATAGAGCTGCACAGAGTCTGGCAGTGCTTTTTGGCGACTCTGACGCGGCTTCGAGTTGTTCGGGGATGGCATAGAGGCAGAAGCAGCATGTTTACCCGGAGGCGGACACGATGCGGGGGTCACATACGACATCGTGAATATACTAGGATATATAATCATGCAGCAGAGGCGGCGGCGGTGGTGGCGGCAGTATCAGCAGCAGCAGCAGTCCTGGTTGAGCAAACGCACGTATAGTCCTATGGCTATATATGGCTTAGCGCGAGCTCAGCCAGATGAAGAGATGGACAAAAAAAAATGAAAAAAGTACGTAAAAATCGAAAGAGAAGCCGATGGAGGAAAAAAAGTGCAGTCTAGCCCATACTCGAGAAGATAGGAGGATAGAGAATGGAGCCGGTATAGGGTTGGATCCTGCACACGCTAGACTCCGTCTCTTCTATCTGGCTATTCTGGCTATTCCCAGCCGTCTCTCTCTCTCTCTCTTTCTCTGTTGTATTACGATGTCCAAGGCAAAAGCAGCAAAAGCGGCTGTGGCGCGACGCCGACCCGACTCGAGCTCCTTTTATATACGCTGCTGCTGCGCCATGTGCTTCGAATATTTTCCCAAACTCAGCGACTTTTTGCCTGACTCGCTGCTATTCGACGAGCGTATATATGTATACACGCGGAGTATAGGATATATACCCACACATACCGATTCAAGAGCATGTCACGCACACACATGCACCGTACTATACACAGGCTCGCACACACATGACGAGCAGCTCGAGCGATTGTGAGCGAACACGCACCGGCACACACACCTTACTTTTGTAATACTTGTTGACATATAGGTAGAGGTGTATACGGCAGTTTTGCGCTGAGCGTGCAGCATTATCTTCTTTTCTTCTCATCTCTCTCTCTTTCTTTCTTTCTTTCTCTTCTTCCCTCCCTCCCTTCTTCTCTCTGCTTCCTTGCAGTCCTCTCTCTCTCTCTCTCTCTCACTCCCCTCGGGCCGCGTATACTCTCGCGAAACTCTGTAGCGCGTACATGTATTTTATTCTGTCGTGTATAAGCGAGTGCATTCGTGTGAGCACGCACACACAGTGTACAGCGAGCGAACGTGCGCAGAGGTGTACGTGAGAGTCAGGTTGGAGATCCGTACAGGAGCGAGTGAGAGGCTGTGGCAGGGAAAGGGACACGAGGCAAGAAGCGATCGCGAGAGAGCCTGTGCTCGCTGCAGCACGAGCGCAGCAAAAGAGCAAAGGAACACGGCTAAGAGAGAGAGAGAGAGAGAGAGAGAAAGAAAGAAGACGGCGAGGATGCTGTTAGCCGAGCGAACGTGAGCCAAGGTATGTGTATACCCACACAACTCTACCCTATACAAGCGCAGCGCATCTGGGTACTAGGAGGAAAAACATAGCTTAAAAACGCTCGTTAACGCTCACGCGCGCATAGATACGGCTGGCACATAAGTGCAAGCATATGCAGGCGGACACGCCACGCCAGCAGCAGCAGCAGCAGCAGCAGCAGCCCTTTCCAATTGATGGATGCGTGCGTTGACTCTAAGTACTGCTATTGAGAGAGAAAGAGTAGTAGTAGAGTCCTATATACCATATCCTTGAATATTTTAGCGCAGGGAAACGAGGGAACAGACTGCAGAAATAATAACGAGATAGGGCACAACGACGACGACGACAGCTCGGCTGATGACGACGCTCGAGACTCAAGACCAGTGCTGCAGCTGCGCCAGCGGACAAAGTCCTTTGCTCGTTCTCCTTTTGCCCGATGATCTCCTACGGTGTTGGAAGCGCAGCTTCCTACGCTTCTACAATTACATGTGTGTGTGGAGGTAGAGTACACCTATTGCACATACATCTATACAGACTGCACACACACACACACATTTACAGAAGGGACTATATGGGATATAGAAAGACTGACGCGTCCTTCTCGAGAAAGCCAGCAAAGCTAGGAATTGAAGACTACTGCTGTTGTTGCTGCTGCTGCTGTTATGGAGGGCCGGCAAGTCTGTGGGGCGTTTTGACAGGTGATACATCAGGATCAGCTCGCTAGCCACTGCCGAGACTCTCGTGCGGCTCTCTGCAGCGGCAGCAGCAGGAGTATAGGATCCATTGAGCCGCGCGGCGAGTGCAGCCGAAAGACGGAGCAACATCATCCCGTAATCCCGTCATCCGAATCTTGCGCGTATACACGTATACTCCTCGCGTGCGCGTATGTATCCACTCGGCTACCTTAGCGGACTTGTTAAAGTTTATATATATACAGGACTGCTGTGCTATATAGGCGCACAGACAGCCACTGCAAGCCGCCGTTACATACGTGTGTAGGTATATAAACTCGCAGAAACTTGCTGCACGCACACACGTATGAACACACGTACATACAAAGAGACGGCGTGCTATGCTGTACGCGTATTGTAGATAGACTCGGCGCTGGTGGCTGTAACAATGAAGCGAGGAGTAGTAGTTGGCGCAGAGGGAGAGAAAGAGAGAGAACCGAGAAACAGACATCCTACACACATGCAGCACGAGAAAGACGAACTCTGCACTTTTCGCGATACTCTTTCTCTGCATCTCTCTCTCTCTCGGTACACTGTGCACGAGAGAGAGCCGTACCTTGTTCCATTGTGTATCTATAGCTAACTACGGTTTACATGTATTTGCGAGCATAAATACCTGAGACATCCTGGTTCTGAGATGCTGGAGGCAGTGTTTGAGGAGAGAAAAGAAGTAGTCGAGCTGCTGCTGCTGTCTAGGCTCGTCGTCCTCTTTGCCGGGCGACATGGCCTGCGGACTCTAGACTAGTAGTCGGCTGCGTATCCAGCGCGTCATCCCTCTCTGGCACAAGCAGCCGCGCAGAGTTTGCCACTGCTTCTGCTGTTGCTGCTGCTGCTGCTCACTACGCACTACTACAACTACTACTACTACTACTCCGCGAGAGTATTCGCAGCGAAGCTGCAGGAGCTGCACAACGAACTCCGCCGATCAGCACTCACTGCACACATCCAGAAACTGCACGCGCACTCGTATTATGCACACTTGGCAGGCGGCAGCGCAGGGTGCTCGTATTCGCGCGCGCCCGACACACCTATATAGGTATAGCTAGCGCACACCAACAACTGCTGCTGCTGCTACTGCTTATGTATATATATATCTGCCGCTATGCGCTTTGTCGCGCGCACTATAACGTATATCTATACTCGCACAGGGACGCACTAAATTCTCTTATATGCTCTCGAGTATCACTGTGTATCTGCAGCGGTGCGCTGGGTAAATATATTCTTCGCTCGCTGCTCCTCGGCTGACACGACTCTCGCTCGTCTTTATCCTACAGATATACATATATAGCTGCAGCATAGACCACTAAGACGCAAACTTATATACCTTCACGCATTCCCTTTGCCAGCGCAGAGCTCCGATCTTAGCTGCTGCTGCTGCCGTTCCTCCTGTTTTTTTATTTTCTTTATCTTTTTCGCTTCTGCTCTCTGCTTCTCTACTCGACTTGACGCAGGTATACACTACGGAGCAGAGCTTGTATACATATGCACAGGGCACACTACAGGCACGGTATATACACAGAGACACACTGGCACGTATGTAGTATGTGCACTCACACACACTCACAAACACACTCGCGAGAGGCGCGCATTAATACTGCACGAGGCAAGCTCACTGCATACGCGATTATCCTTGCCGAGCGCCGAGAAAGCGAGAGCCAGAGATGCTAATCACGCACTGTACACACCAACGCAAGAGGAGCCGTACATGCACACACGTACACACACACAAGCACAAGCAGTTGGCTGGCAGATTAAAGCAGCAATCGCTGTATGCGCGCGTGTATGCGATCCTGCGACTCCGTTCTCACTCGTAAGACTGCCACTGCTGCAGCTTCTTTTCGGCAGTCACTTGTGATGGCAAATTTTGAGAATTCGCAACGCGATCGAGGCTTTGTTATCGCGACTCGTACGAGCTGCACTTTTTTGTCCGATGACACTTGTGGATGAAAGACCAAGAGCGATATCCGATAGCCAATCGTATATTTGCGGCAAACTTTCGGCACGAATTGCTCAGACACTGCTGGACCGCACGATGTATATAATATACAGTCGAGGTGCTGCCGCTGGAATGCTCAAAGCGCAGAGAGACGGAGAGAAAAGAGGCAGCGAACGAGGGGCGAGGGATTCGATTCCAAGTTTTGCAAATCTACCGTTCGAACGTCGGCGTTCGTCGTCGCAACTCGTAACCGACGAGCGAGTGTCGGTCTGGGCCGAGCCGAGCGATGACGACGGCTCGGGATCTATCTGGCGAGGATGGCCGTGCAGAAGCACAGGACGCTCCGCAGCTCGTCGGTGCAGGAGTCGCTGCTCTTGTGTGTGTTATATCGTGGCTAGGGTCGACGATCTGGCCGATGTCGCCATTTAAGTTGCACTGACACAGAGAGTCGCTGCTCGCGCGAATAGCCGTGGCGCCGCCGCCGCCGCCGCCGCCACTACCACCACCACCACCGTAGCCGCTGCTCCGAAACGCCGCTATGAGTGGAACAAGGACGGCGAGTCGCTCCGGCAGCGCAGAGAAAGAGACACTGGCGCGCATGAGCAGAAGCAAAGTGCTGCTCCGAACGGCGAGCGAAAACTCCGAACTGCCGAACGAGAGAATCCGCGATAGGTACACATATATATATACATTGGTAGGTTTTTTGCACCGTGAGCCATACGCTGCTGGAATAGAAGTATAAGGTATATATAGGTAGGTGCTATATATAGGCGACTCGCGCGAGTCGAGTCGAGTCGGGAGCGAGAGGAGCGAGCTGCGCTTCCATGGCAGCGGAGCGCTCCGTATAATATAGGTACACGAGGCTGTAAGGCAGCAGCCGTCGCCGTCGTGCAGTTGGCAGTTCGCAGCAAGAGAGAGAGCTTGGAACGGCTCGCGACTCCGACCCTATATCCAAGCGTGCAAGGTATACATATGCAGCTATATCATATCTATATAGCTATATAGCCGTATATATATAGGTAGCCGGCTCGGCGTATTCGGCAGTCGGCACTCGCAGTCGAGTTAACTTGCTGCCTCGCTAGTCAGTGTGCATTGTACTTTGCAGTCGAAGCGCAGCACCTGTGGCAGTGGTAGTCTCTCTCTCTCTCTCTTGTACGCTCGGCAGTCGCGCATTTATTTATAATGCCTCATAACTTATATACGTACCTATACAGAGGCAGGCACTGTGCTCCTCTCTCTCTATATACGTGTGCCAACTGCGAATGCAACTCTCCGAGCAAGTAGCAGCTGTATATATACGTATAGATAAGTACGAAATATATAGGATAGGCAAAGAGACGAGAGAAGCTCTTTTTCATTTTGTCCAAGTTGGCGGTAGCAACTCGAGCCGCCCCCGAGCAGCAGCAGCAGCAGCAGCAGCAGCAGCAAGGGCAGCTCAGCGAGCGGCTTTTCGAAAGAAGAGCTCCACTATCGACGAGCTGCTTGGGTAAACAGCCACTACCCGTCCAAAAGTCCTTCGACCACAATTATAGCGCCCGAAACAATTAGACGGCCTGTAAATGGAAATGTGCGGCTGGCGAGCCGAGAGCCAGACGAACTCGTCCGCGGCTTTCTGCTTAGCCGTAACTGCTCGACTGTTTCAATTGTCGACGCTATTATCTATGTCGAAACAGTATAGAGACCGACACCTCCTCTCTCTCTCCCTCTCTACACGCTATACAGCTCCGTATGCTGTATAGAGATTCGCAGCGTATTTACTCGATGCACAGTCTCGAGCTCCGTTACAATTGTCAGCGTGTGGTCCGCGTCGAGTCTCGGCAGTTATATTATATACCTGCGCAGCTTGTATCTTAGCTATGTGTGCGCTCTTGCAGAGTCAGCTGCAGCCAACTCGTCGAGGACCCCAGCAGCAGCAGCAGCCAGCTCGTCGTCGTCCTGCGGTACTCTACTTCGCTCCCTCCGCTCTCCTCGACGACCCCAGCTGATTTATGGACTTTTCTCATTAACGATTCTCAGTTTGCATATGTGACTTTGTCGCCCGGACTTATACTTGGGGCACGGCACGTGTCACTGTCGTTACTCGTTACGCTCGTACGAGCTTATGTATATACGCAGCACTTGCGAGCCTCGACAGTCGACGACCCCTCCATCACCACCACCGGCACCGCCTCAATCCTATATAATAATAATACACGTGCAACGCGAATTACCACGGCGACTTTTCGTTTCTCTTTTTATCTCGTATTCCTCTCTTGTACTGCCTCGTGCGAGGATCCAAAGCGAGCTCGGAATTTCGTGTAGCTCGCACGGACATCGCGGCGTTGAAGTTAACTCGCTGCTAGCGTAGGCGTACTTGCACAACGTACATATAGGTATCGCCGTACTCACCTTTTGCTCGAAACTGCTGCCTGTGCGTAAAATCTCCCGAGTCATGCGTTATCCCGTCGGCCGATATAAACACTCCAGCGCGCGGTCTCGGAGCCGACCGAGAGCTTTTCTCTTTTCTCAAACTTACATATCGCGCGTACATTATACGTATTCGTACTTTTGCGTCGGGCTATTCCGCGGCAATCTCTGCTGCTCTCTTGCTCCCTACCGCTTTGCTTCTTATTTTTCTTCCTAGCCTCTTCCTCCTTTACTTCCTCTTCTTCTTCTTCTTCTTCTTCTTCTTCTGCACGCAGCGGGTTATACTTAGCTCGCAGTTAGCGCGCCTACTTTTATCTAACTTTGCTTGTACCGTGTTCGCGCGCGCGCGCGCAACCCCCCCACGGGAAACAGCGCAAGCCAAGAGTGCCAAAGAGGGCAAACGCGAAAAAAGCAACTTTTTTCTCTCTCTCTCTCTGTATGTATAAGAGAGTCGAGTGTGCCTCCCGAGAGCGAGAAAAAGATATTATACATGATTTATGGCTCTTGTGCTTGCAACGCAGTCAAAATTCCTCTAGCCTTAGCGGGGGTGATCGTCCTCCGAGTCGACGTACTCTACGCCGTGTATAAATTCACGCAAGAATCGCTCGAGACAATCTCGGCGAAGCACGAGTCGAGTCCTACATAATTCGGTCAAGCCACGGGATTCGTTCCGCTGCTCGATGCGCGCACGACGTCGTACGGCATCGCGAGACTTGTCCTTGGACCGGAGCGGAGATTTTTGCGCGCGTCCATACGGAGGCTCGAGCGATCGGAACAAAGAAACACGATGTTGTACCACGGCCGACTTTTATAATGATTCTCTCGCCTCTCTTCGAATCGCGTTGAGACTCGGGACTTGGCGAGTCGCACGCCGCGCGAACGGAAATAGAATCGCACGGAAGATTTATCGACGAGAGCGCGTCAAGCCAATTGACGGATGATTCGAGTCGATCGCGTTTATACGCGTATATATATAATAAAGTACATCGATGGGACCCGAGATCGACGCGTTCCTCGCATACTATTAGCCAATGTCTGTCCGCCTCTCGGCTTACGATCGCTATGTAATATATATAATTATATAGTGCATTACAAAGAACCCGAATGTAGTAACTAGATGTATGGAGCAATTAAAAACCAATGCGGCACGACGATCACGGAGCGTCATCCCGTTCAACAGTCAGGCCACATATACAATGTACGTGTAACGTAACAGATGATTCGATCGCCTTTCTATCCATTCTTCGCGTGCGGTCTCATAATACGGTAGCGCCGCGGCTAATCGCTTAGTTATGTCTTTCTTTTACATACAGCACGTACACGCCCATACGTACATAAATCTGTGTGTCACAAACACACATACGTGCGTGCACGCGCTGTCTATATATACTTGTGCATGGGAACGCGAGCCGATCGAGTATGTGCCGAATATATGTGTCGAATGTATACGAGTCCAGGACTACGGCCGGCGCGTCCATCGGGATCCGCCGATAATTTGACTCGACTCGCATTAACGTCAACGTACCGAGAAGCACATACCTATTGCAACGAGACGATCGTCCAACAGACGGTACTCGACGTACTTTCTCGATTTGAGAATATTCATCGAGCATAGTAGTAGAGTCCGCGTAAGAAGACGCGCTGCTCGGCATTTTCCCCGAGTTATGCAACTCGAGGCTCCTCCGCCGCAATTGACGTTGCGCGGGAGTCGCGCACCAGTGGCTGCAGCAGCATCACGCTCGGCCACACGGCATCGGGGGCATTTTTCCTCGAGCTCTCGCCGCTATACACGCGAAAGCAAATAAATCACGTCATTTCGCGAGATGAGGTATTTTTCATCTCAAATTACCTCGGCCGCTGCCATGCGTATTATAGTAGGAGCTGAGAAAAGCGAGCGAATGCAGGGCCCGAGCCGAAACAGCCCGGCAAACGTTTTACCGATGCGTAGAATGAGAGAGCGAGAGCGAGCAAAGAAGAGCAAAAAAAGAGAATGAGAGAGAGAGAAGAAAAAGAATAGGAGCGAGCTGCGCCGGAGCATTATTGTGAGCGCACGGCACATTTCACGGCTATTTCATGTGGAAATCTGCACGTGCAATGCCTCTCGTCCATAATATATATAATAATATGGAGTATGTGCGAAAGTATACGGCTGTGTATATGTGTGCATGCCGTAGGAAAAAGCGAGCCTGCGACCTGCTGTGAGCCGCGCAGGGAGAAAAGTCGAGGCTCGAGAGGTATATAATGGTGCTAGTATAGGT